TAGCGTAGAATGCAGTAATAAATTCTGTATACAACATTTTGTTTTTACCAAAGTGCTTCTCCAATTGATTAATGCAAGTCAATTTAATTGGTAAAACAGAACAAAATCGTTTTGTTTTATGATAAAGAACTATTGAAGTATCTTCCATTAGTGATAAAGGCCCCAAATGTTAATTAGATCAATCAGAAGTCAGAGAAATAGCTTGAATTGGATGCAAATTAGTAGAACAAAATGGGGGAAAAAGAATGTATATATAGGAAAGAATCTTATAAGATATGGAAAAAAACTTGATTGTGCTTCTCGGGAAGAATTTACTTGCTGCAGGAATTTCTAGTGGCAAGGTGTAGGCTTTATAGCCAAAAAGAGTGATTCTTATGATGTGCCACGGAAAATATTGGAAAAGTACATATATCAAGGGCAGAAAATTAGACATTACACAATGGGTTGTCTACAGATAGAATTTACAAATTGAACTTTTAGTTGAGTTTTGGGAAATAAATTACAAATGTTGTCTAGAGATATAATGATTGTTCAGTTTGGCTCTTTGAATTCTGCTGCTTTATTTGGTTCTCTGACCATTTTTAAAGAACTTATGCTCTTCCTATTCTGATCTGAGAGGTACAGTTTTAGTGAGTTTGAGGGTATGCATAGTCCTCAAATTTTATGCTACTAGTTCCACTTCGAGCCTTTTTGCAATTTAATGGCATTTGTATGTAGCATGCTATCTTTGAAACAATATTGAAGATGACTTCCCAATATATAGTTATTTCAATATTTGAATAATTATCTTGGTCTCCCATTTAACTTTGATTCTATTTGCCTTCTTATTCACGATAGTTTATCAATTTTCTTGGAATACATTTTGTTTCTGCACTCACCGTCACTTGTAGGTTTAATGCAACAGACTTCTTGGTGAGACTACGTGGTAAAAGATTGATGCTGGTAGGAGATTCCATGAACCGGAACCAGTTTGAGTCAATCCTTTGCCTCCTCCGCGAAGGCTTGCATAATAAGAGCAGAATGCATGAAATTCACGGCCACAAAATAACTAAGGGAAGAGGCTACTATGTTTTCAAATTTGAGGTTAGATCATTGCGATCCTAATTTCTAGTTCATGCACCCATATAGTTTGCACTTCAGTAAGTTATTTTCTTGATTACATGTCACGTTCTTAAGCTTTGATTGTAAAGTGTAGTTGGCAGCTTCCCCATAGCCCAATTGGTTTTATTTCATGTTAGTTAGAACTTACTTTTCATTATACATACTAAGTCTATGTGTGTTTGGTCATCCTAAATTTACTTCTGCCATATTTGGGTGAAAGCTTACCTTCTGGAACACACTCCATATTTAGTTTTAGGACTGACATTACAATATTTTGATTTGGGCTGAAACTATCTAAGTTAAATCCAATTTTAACTTACTAGTTATTCAGTACACAGAATTACATCATACTCATTTTAAGTTCAACTTAGTTGTAGGGAGTATAATGGATCAGTTGGTACTGTTACTGATTGTGAGGTTTTCTGAAAATCTTGGACAGGACTATGACTGTACAGTGGAATTTGTGAGGTCACATTTCCTCGTAAAGGAAGGAGTCCGCATTAATGCTCAAGGGAGTTCAAATCCAACTCTTTCGATAGATCAAATTGATAAGACAGCTAAACGCTGGAAAAGAGCTGACATTCTTGTCTTTAATACTGGCCATTGGTGGACTCATGGAAAGACTGCTCGTGGGTATGCTTGCAAGCTTATCTAATATTTACCTAGTATAATGTTATTTTCTTACATTTGTTCTGCAGATTGAAATATTCTTTTCTGGTTCATTCAGTTGTGATAATCACTTTGATTTTTTTTGGGTGTTTATTTATTCATTTCTTTTCTTTTGGCTGGTAGACAATAAAAGATCATCCATAGAATGCGAATGCTGTCAATATTCAAATTTTGAAAACTGATATAGTATTCTTCGATCTCTTACCAAGAAAAATACTCAATTAGCTTATAGATTGCAACTAACTGGCACCTAGTCTGGTTGATTGGTTTATGATCTCTTCTTTTGGCCATTTTTACTTTCGCAAAATATACCGGAACTCTGTAGAAATATGACAGTTATTTCTTACAGGAAAAACTACTATAAAGAGGGAGATTATATTTATCCAAAGTTTGATGCATCGGAGGCCTATAGAAGGGCTCTGAGGACCTGGGCTAGCTGGATTGATCGTAATGTTAATCCATCAAAGCAGTTGATCTTCTATCGTGGGTACTCTTCTGCCCATTTCAGGTATATTCAACTGTTTAATCCTTTCATCCCTCACATTTTTGTTCAGTTCGTATTAGACAAACTAGAATAGAGAGTTATGTATATAATTTGCTTTGAGTGTTGGGAAACATTCGTTCTCAACATTCAACTTGAAATTACTATAATGAGAAACAGAACAAAATTTTAAGATAATTAAACACTTAGTAACAAATTTTTTAGTACTTGAGAGAGAAGTAGCATATAATTGATTTATTTGTTTATTATGGAAAGTGTTTGACTTATCTATAATTTCTGTTCATTCCAAACTCTGGAAAGCAGAGGAGGAGATTGGGATTCAGGTGGATCATGCAATGGGGAAAAAGAACCAGTCTTAAGTGGGGCCATACTTGATAACTATCCTTTGAAAATGAAGATAGTGGATGAAGTAATCAAAGAAATGCGGGTTCCTGTGAAACTTTTGAATGTGACAAGGTTGACCAATTTCCGCAAGGATGGCCATCCATCAATCTACGGAAAGAATGCAACTGCTGGCAAAAAAGTTTCCACAAGGAAGCAAGACTGTAGCCATTGGTGCCTTCCTGGGGTCCCTGATGCCTGGAATGAGCTTATCTATGCCACCTTGGTTATTCAGCAGACCAAATCAAAGAGTAAAAATTCATAGCCTTTTCCCAGTTTACCACTGAGCACTTACTAATGACAATATGGACATAAGATATCCGAATTCTCTTTACATGACCATTTACATGACCAAGAAGCTGTTAAACCTCCTGGCGGAACTCACCCGCACAAAACCGGCTTATAAGAAAAGGGTGTCCGGGTGTTTTTGGATGAGAGATTATGTTAACACTCTGTTGGGCGCTCGGTTTTAGGCCAACCCATGTTTAAGATACGCCTGCTCTGCTCTGGCTGGCACCATGTTAAGCTTTAAAGAAG